CCCCCGTTATCTGCCTCCCCCGCCAGGACTCCCCCCGAGCTCTTGTTCTCTCCTCACCCAGCCACACGTCCCCGGGAGCCTGGGATGCTGCAGCACCAGGGGTCTGCTGGGCCACCCAGTGCCCTGTGAGCCCCCAGCTCCTGGCCAGGCTGGGGTCACGACCTCCCCAACAAAGCAGGGCCAGGATCCGGCAGCTCCAGGGAGGGGCAGAGGGGTTTGTGGCTGAGGAATAACAGGATGTCAGCTTCTGGAGCTGGGAGCTGAGCTGCTCCAGGAAGAGTGGGGAGGCAGGGGGACCTCAAGGAGCATCCTGGACTCCCACCCGTGGAATCTGTGCCTTTCACTGCAGCTGAAGCCCCCTGTCCCTTCCTGCCACCTCCTCACTCCCTTGCTCTCCTCCTTCCTCCCTTCCTTCCCCAGATGATGGGCTGAGCACCCGCTGCAGAGGCACCTCAGGGCCATGAGCTCCCCGTGCCCTCCTGACGCCGACATCGCCGCCTGGCTGGCTGCCGTGCACTTGGAGCGGTACCGGGATGTCTTCAGGCAGCACGGGTACCAGCTGGCCAGAGATGCCACCGGGCTGGACGGGCACCACCTGCAGCAGATGGGCATCACTGCCACTGGGCACCGCAAAAGGATCCTGAACCTGGTGCAGCAGACACGGATGCTGAGCCCAGCCCAGGGGAACCTCGCAGCGGGAAACGTCCCTCCCCGAGGCACCGAGGCCCTGGATGCCCCCCAGGTGGGCGAGGATGCCACGAAAGCAGGACCAGGAGGGGAGGCTGACAGCGTGGCAGCACAGCAGCCTGGCACCACGCCTGCCCAGGCATCACCTCTAGAGAAGGACCCTGCTCCTCCCCTGGTGAAGCCGGTTCCCAAGCCCAGGACTGTTTTCCCCCGCTCCAAGGCAGAGCAGGGCTTGGTGCCCTCACCCCCCCCTTGCACAACAGTGCCAGCCCACGGCCTGGGCACTGAGGGGGCACCTGCAGCCTTTGTGGTACTGGAGGGCTTTGTGCCAGGGGAGAGCTCCACGGATTTGGAGAGCCCTGAGGCAGGAGAAACCGTGGCCATGGGCATGGGAGCGTCCTGGCTGCGAGAGAGAGCCCGGGAGAAGACAGGGCTCCCCCCAGCTCCTGATCATGGACAGATCCCGAAGACGTGGGAGAAACCCCCCCCATCCATCCCGTCTGTCCCACCTCGGCACAGCCAGAGGGTCCCGGCAGCCGAGCCCAGCCCTGGGAGTGTGCCCGAGGGTCACTCTGCATCCCACCCCCCCCCGCCTGCCGCGGCCACCCCGGCCAGGAGGGGCCCCTCACCCTGACCCCGGGCCGCCCCGCAGGT